TTGCAGGGCCTCGTCAACCGCCGCGCAGACGAAGTGCGTTTGTTTAAGACAGCATCATCCAAGCAAGCATACCCGAGCTGCCAGTAAATAACAATAAATAAATAATAAAATGCTTTGCCACCAACGCCGCTGTAAATACTACCGCATTTTGCAACATGTTGTGGCTATCCGTCGGCTAGCGAAAGGAATAATAAGCCAAAATTCGAATATCACATAAAAATGGCTGATGGCACATATACTCTGTAAATCGACTGCTATCAACAATTAGGAAATAGCTGGCAAAATGAGCAGTTTCGCATCCGCAATGGTCCAGTGGCTAGGATCTCACGCTCTCACCGTGATGGCCGGGGTTCAATTCCCCGTTGCGGAAAACCAACTTTTGTCGATTCACATTATAGTATTTTTATATTTTTCTCCAAGCAAAAAGTCACCTGTCGAAGCATAAAAAGAGTTCCGAAAACCCGGATTTGAACCAGGGACCTAGAGATTACAATTTCCACTACAGTCTCCCGCTCTACCGCTGAGCTATTTTCGGTTGCACACGCTATAATACTCTTCTCTTTTAGGCGTATTTATCCCGCATCCGCTGCTATGCCCAAACTCGCTGTTGCGCTGTTTCTTTTCTTATTTCGCGCTCTGTCGTTGCCGCACAGCAGTTGCAGCGCGACAAGCACCGACTGGACACCTTCCCTTCGCTTTAACTGCCTTTGCGCTTACATGCGACTAGCAGTGGCTGCGTGTCTGTTGGTTGTCTGCTACACACATGCTCGTGGAAGCAACTGCAAGGTCTACTTGTATCTCTATGCTCCTGCTCTGTGGCTCTCTGGCCTGTTTATAAACCTGCTATAAGCTGCACTCTTTCTATGTATGCTTTTATTAACTTCACATAATGTGTGTATTGCGCTTGAACGCACTAGGTGCACAAATCGGAGAGATATCACATTTTCGGTGGTGTCGCTGTAGCCAGTCTGTGGTTTTTGACATTAAACGCATAGTTGGCAACTGTGTGCTTGTGTTTTTGGCCAAATGATGCGCTTGGTCATTTCTGTTGCTCACTGATTCAGAAAACAGGCATACAGGTATTGTATTGTGTACAGTTTGCAATCGCTTTGCATGC